GGCTCAGCCATAACTCTTGAAAGCACACGTACGTGGTGCTAGGATCTGCAAAGGGTGGTAGGCTGCAGTGCCCAACCTGGTGACCTGAACAGAAGATGAACACAAAAGAGAAATCATCATATATACATAACGGCAACAGTTCTAAAAATCCCCAGATGCACAGGTTCAGCAGCAAAACAAATTTGTGATTTCAACTCATGGATCTAAAAATACAAAGACAGTTCTACAAATACCTTCTTTCTAGACAAGCACTGCATGTGCAGAGTTAACAAGAAAGCTTTCAACAGTTGAGAGAAATGCCAGTTCTGTTTCAAATCATCACCAAAAGCATCACACTTCTTTCTAGCCCCCAAATTACAGCCGCTGACCCAGCCACGGCTACTTTTGTAATCTTTCACACAGAGAAGGTCTGTACCACTCCTAAGAGTTTACCAGGATTAAAAACTGCTGACCATCACTCAAGGTGCTCAGATGATATACCAACAAGGATGTGATTTGTATGCAGCATTTAAGGCATTTTTAAGCAGCATTTAAGGCAAAAGACCACAATCAGATCAAATACACTATCAGTCATTCAACAGAGAGAGGAAAAAGGAACTTCCCTGAAATTTATCAACAATTTTGGGGAGGTTAGAAAGGAAGTTTTAAACATTATAGTAGCCTGAATCTGATGGCAGCCAGGAGGCTTGTCTGAAGTTCTTCTTATCAGGCATCTTCTCTTAGCTCAAGATCCACTCGGCTAAATAACCACACAGCCACCTCTGTGCTGTGCTTGTTCCTGCTATAAATTACCTCATCTATTTTTCATATTCCCAGCGCTTTTCGGACTGTGCTGCAAGATCTGCAAGAGATGCATTTTAACCTTTGCTAGAGACTACTCAAGGACAGAAGTGGCTTGTGAACCCTCTCTGTGTAAAAAATTTCAGTATTAAATGTCTGTAGCCCAAACCATGAAGCTATTTATTGAAGCTTTATACAAACTAATTAAATATAAGGCTCTCATGGGACATGAGGAGAAAGAAAAGAAGAATTAAGAGATAAATCACTGGCTTTTATTTCCTCAGCAAATGTATACTCCAGTTTAATACATTAAACCAAAGAAACACTCTGACAGTTCTTGGTCAGGCATAGATAGGCAGCATCCAAATCTCACACGGAACACACTGCACAGCATAAATTAATTATCCCTGCTTTACCGCAACTTGCACAAAGGAATTGGGAGAGACAATCCAGACAAGGGGATGAGCTTGAGATATCAAAGGCTCCATATGGAGACCACAGAATCTCACTTTCCAGCTTCACAGAACTCATAATCTTTGTGAGCACATGGTACAGAAACGTATCAAAGCAGCACTTCCCTCCCCTGCTGACCCCATGTCATCTTGTCAGGAGAACTCCTACCGCATGACACGCAGCCATTTCAGAGTTTCCTCAAAGACAGAAGCACTCTCAACAAGACTCACAAGAGCCCACTCAGACCAGCAGCCTCTCCCCTCCTCGCCAACAGCATGAACCATTCAAGTGCAGGTAGAACAGCCAAGTAACCAAACAACACAGACTTTGCTTGCATCATCTAAAGGCAAAAGTCTCAAGGTCAATGTAGCTGTTGAGGAAAGTCACCCTCTCTGGACACCTCTGCAGGGCAATTCCCTTCTGCAGAAGACAGTGAGAACGTCCAGATACTAGAGGCCATGGGATCACTGGATAATTCAGGTTGGGAGGGAGCTCAGGAGGTCATCTGGTCCAACCTCCAGCGGTCAGCTATAAGGTCAGACCAAGTACCTCAAGGCTGTATCCCACCTGGTTCCAGCAACCTCCAAGGATGGATGCACTGCACCAGTACCTACAGACTGCAAAACTTGTCCTCAACCACACTGCCCAAGTAATTAGGAAGAAGCACATCACTCCTTCCCTGCACAAGAAGTTTTATGTGTAAGATAGTCTTCATCCTCAGAAATTCATTTCATCCTAAAGTTGATTTCTGCATGCACAAACCACGAGAAAAGCTAGCTCCAACACAAAAGAGGCAAAGAACCGACTCTTGGAAGAAGACAACAAATACCTGTAACTCACAGTAACAGGAGAACAAAAAGTTTCACTGATCAACACCCTGTTGCCCTTACACACCCTTTACAAGAAAAATTACCAACCTCATTCAACAACAGAAGATCAAAAATTTTGCATAACAGTGATCTAGTAACCATAACCAAACTATTCTTTAAATAGTTTTTGATTAACAACTTAAGACTACTACATTTTTAAAACAAAGCTCAACCATTCTACTGACAACAATTTAAAGTGCTTAAGTATGTGTTTGTGGATTAATGGTTTTAAATGAAGCCTCTAAATGCAGTTTCCAACACACAACCGGAGTGAAGCACAGGAAAAAAATGCAGTAAGTTTCTATATGCCAGTAAAAAATATCAGAGTTTTCTCATCTGAGAAACAGATGATACCTTACAATTCATGTAGCACGCCAACACCTGATTCATCTCACTCCCACAGCGGCTGCTTCATGGCATCGTTTCACAACACAAGAGAAGAGACACCCAACAACTCCTATCTACACCGTTCCCACAGTTAAAGTCAGAATTCGATCAGGACACCAAAATTTTTAAGTAAGGACCGTGGTATGTCTAAGGATTAGGCAGTACCACATTTTTGGATTTAAGTGTGTCTTTACTACCATCTCACCTTCCCGCTGTGGTAGAGACCTGCACATCTCTGGAATCAGAGAGGCAAGAGGTCGCGTCCCTCATGGGAGCTTCCCCTTAGAGCCGATCACTGTCCAACGCAGAACCAAGGTGTCTATGAAACGTAAAGCAAGTTTCGTGAAATTTTAAGAGGAGCATATAACTTCAAAGTCTCCCCCCAAACTTGATACCTAAAATCAGATCCCCATTGTCAAAGCAGCCTGTGAAAGGTTGAAGCCAGGTGGAGAAGGGAAGCTCTCCCCTGTACTTTAAACCAAATGAGGTGACGGGGGAGAGGATTGTTACTGTGCTGCCATGTGTGGTTTTGAGCTGTTTGGCCCATTTACACCTCCCTCTCAAGGGAAGAGCAGGAGATGGATTTGCACCTCCCATGGCTGCCACTTCTGAAGTCCCTGCGCAGGGAAAGCTGAACTGTGAGAGGGATGAATATCCCAAGACAAACTCCTAGATGCCCTCACACTAATTCAGGAAGGAAACCCCCTTTCCCCAGATCCTCGGGATCCATTTACACAGTTCCGGTCTTCCCAACCTCACATATTTAAGATAAAAACATTTGATAAAGCAAAAAGCAAAAATTCTATATGCCACTACAACAGTTCACTTTTGGGACCACATTTACAGGCTACTTGACAGGTCTCTGAATAAGAGATGAACTTAAGAGATGAACTGAGTTTTGGCAGTAATGCTGCCTGTACCCGGGGATGGCTTATTTCCATTTTACCCATCTCGTTGGTCTCTTTTCTGAAAGATAAAGAGAAAGATTTCTTTTCTTCTCTAATGAATGAAAAAACTGAGAGGTGAGAAGATGTGCTTTACCAATTCTAAAGCCTTGTTTCTGATTACTGAAACCAACTCACAAATATTGTGACTACAAGCTTGTAGCTACCACACACAGATGGGGTAAATAATGAAAGAATGTGTAAGCCTCTAATTTTACACTGACTTCAATTCCCATTTCCAAAGACAGCTAGAAAAAAGGAATAGAAACTAAACTAGTGAAAAAGAAACATGCCCTTCTCCATTTCTAAGAACCCAACAATTTAAATAATAATAATAATCAAAATAAACCCCTACCCAGCTTTATATTTGCTCAAGTAAACATTTTTAACATAAATGTCAAAACTCCTTCTAGGTACAGAGTACCAGGGTCAGTGTAGGACATGCATCTATACTGGGTTTGTGTGTAGGACAATATGTTCCAATGATTTGCAACCAGTGAGCAGCCTCCCCAGTAGGAAAAATAACTACATAATTGCAAAATCAATATTTTAATTGTCAGTTTTAATCTAGGTTTCCTACTCAGATTTAAATCACATTTTTTTAAATCACAGTGATTTAACTCAATCAACCCTGCCCGAAGGCCATCTTTCCTGCATGCTATGAGCATACCAAGCAAGTTTTAACCAATTAGATAAATCACTAAATCTCATAACTTCCCAACAGCAATATCAAGCCATACACAAGCCATAATTATTTTTTTAAATATGCGTTATATTGAAAACTTTGCAAAAATAAGAATCTAAGTAGACATTTCACCATCTTTTTTTTTTTTCACCTAGGGCACATGATAGCCTGAAACCCAGCCAACTGAATTCTGCAGAAGACTTGCACGATCACTGCAAATATGCCTCTGACTCTTCATTGCTGTCCTTATGATGACAGGAGTAACACTGATGCATTAGTTGTTTTCATTTATATATGCAAGCTTATATATATTTGTATACACACACACTGCTACCTTAAGGTGTTGCACTCCAGAGCACAGTAAGAAAAAACAGACAGTAATATTATGGACTCACCAAGAGCAAAATCCTGAATAATGGAACTTTCTAGCACAAACAGCTTTACAGGGACCCTCAGCACAGTCTCCGTTACTACCAGTGGAAATATGCTCTTGTGACACTCTACAGATTTCTGAAAGATTCCCATGATAGGAGAGGGATTAAAAAGCAATTAACTGGGTCTCATATTACAAAAGCAAAGCCATATTTTAGAACAGCAGACCGAAAAATAAGATCTCTCGGAACTCAAAGATTTGTTATATTCTATAAAAAAACCCCTTACCACTGTACCTTAAAATGGCAATACCATAGTAGGAACCTACCCCATGGAGATGAGAAAAAGCACTGCAAACCCGATCCAGCATTGTATTATGAAAAAGCCCTGCAAATTCCAGGCAATCTGCAAATGATTTCCCCATTCCCCACCCAAACATCTCCTGCAAACTCCTACAATTGCAAGTCAGGAATGTAATAGCAAAAGAGAAGAAAATAAAACCATTCCTACCTTTAACTTGCGTGTCATATTCAGCTATGATCTCCTTATCCTTTTTGAATTTTGCTGGCGACGTCATGTTTTCTTTTCCAAAAAGATTAACCTCAAAACAGATCCACCAGAACACAAGATATAAATGCAATTTCGCTCCTCTCAATGCGATGTCTTGATTTTCCGCTGTCCTCCCCCCACAAAAAGGGAAAAAAAAAAAAAAAAAATCAGTCCATGGAGAGAGGGTGTGAGACGGAGCACAGCAGCAGCAAAATGCAGATGTTAAGAGATCAGTAGATGGAAGAGGCAGCAGTTTTGTCTCCCTGCACCAAAACCTTTAGCAGCAGCATCAGACTAGCGAGATCCTGCAGCCCCCAAAGGCTCTTCCTGATTGCTAACGTTAATAGCACAGCCAGGGAGTGGAAGTCCTTCCGCACAACATGTTTTGTGTGGGTTTGGTTTGCCTTTTCTTTTTTTTTTTTTAAATGGGCTCAGAGATGATGCAAATCAAATCCCAAACGAGAGCAGAAACAGAGGACAAGAAGCCTTTTTCTTTGGTTTGCTTGCCTGCAAATGCAAAAAAAAAATATATATATATATATACATACATATATATTTTTAGAAAATTACAGCTTGCAACCAGCAGTCACAAGATACGCAGCCAAAATTTGTGACTGAACGAAAAGCTGCCCTGACATTGCAAATTGTCCTTTAAGCAGCAGCATGAGGCTAGAGATGCAGACCGGCCAGGTAACCACGGGAAAACGCCTCCCCGGCAGCCAGCCCCACGCGGGGGAGAAGGGGCTCAGTGGGAAAGCGGGGTCCCCGGGGGAGCGAGGGGAACCAGGCTGCGCAGGGAGAAAGCGCTTCTCCAAATGAGCAGCGATGCGGGGGGGGGGGGGAAGATCAGCACCGAGCCCGGCCGAGCTGCAGCATCTTCCGTGGAAAACTGCAGCCCAGCCCGCGATCCCACCGGCGGCGGGGGCCGGGGACGAGCCCAGGCTCCCCGGCACACCGCACCCGTCCCCGCCCGCGCGGCTCCATCCGCAGCTTTTCCTTCGGCAGCTCTGCGGTTGGGGGTTTGGAGGCTATTTTAGTTTTCTGTGGGCTTTTTTTTTTTTTTTTTTTTTTTCCTCCGGCGGCCCCCCGCCCGGTGCACGGGTCAGAGCCGGCCCGCAGCCCGGCGCGTCCGAGGCAGACGGGAACCTGCCCGCAGGGGGACGGCGGGACACAACTTTTCTCCCTTTTTTTTTTTTTTTTAATTATTATCATTTTTTAATTGTCCCCCCCGCCCCGTTTTTCAGGGGAGGGAGGGGGCAAGACTGCAGCCCCCGCGGAAGATGCGCGTAAGGGAGGAAGAAATAAATAAACACGGCACCCGCCGGATCCGCATCCCGCCCGGGAAGAACAATGAGGGCGGCGGGGAGAGGAAGCGTGGGGGGGTCCCGGGGGGGCCGGGGCTGAGGGACGCGGCCCCGCGCCCCGCCTCAGGGCCGCGCTGGGGGGAGGCGGCGGGGCCGGGCGGCCGGGGCAGCCCGCGGCCCACCGGGCGGAGGAGGGGAGGGGGCCGGGCGGGGCGATTACCTGGGCGCTGCGGAGCCGCCTCCCCACCTCCCGCAGACCGGCGTCCTCCGGCCGCTGGCGCCCGCCGCCCGGTCCCCCTCACCGGCCCGCCGCCGCCCCGCCCCGCCGCGCGGCCCACCCAATCGGCGGAGAGCGCTGGGCGGGAGCGACGGACGCTGCAGCCAACCAGAGGGCTCCATCTCTCATCTGGGCCCACCCCCTCTTCCCGCCGCTAGGCCCCCGTAGCACCGCCCCGCCGGGAAGGGTGGGCGGGGCCTGGCGGCGCGCTGGAGCCTCCGCCCCAAGGACTGCGCAGGGGGCGGGGCGAGCCATGCGAATAGACTGCTGGATGGACCAATAGGAGCAAGGAGGGGCGTGCCCCTCCGCCAGCACCTAGGCGGCAGGGGTGGTGCCACCCGTTTCCTCCAATGGCCTGCAAAGAGCAGGGCCCCGCCCCTGCTTTCCGCTAATCAGAATTGGCGGGCGAGGCCTCCCGCGCCCAATGGGAGAATGAGGTCGGGAATTCAAACTGACAGGAGGGAGCGCGGCCGTTGGCGGCGGCCGGGACGGCCCGGCCCGGGGGAGCGGCGCGGCGGGGCCCGGCGGTGTCCGCCCGTCATGTCGGCCAGCAGCTGCACCTTCGAGGACCGGTGCGTGGCCGTGCTGTGCTGCCGCTTCTGCCAGCAGGTGCTGAGCTCGCGGGGGATGAAGGCCGTGCTGCTGGCGGACACCGACACCGACCTCTACTCCACCGACATCCCGCCCTCAGGGTAAGCGCCTCCCGGGGGAGGGGGGGGGTTCGGTTGGGCCCCTCAGGCCGCGGGGTCCCGCCAGCCGAGGCCTGTCAGCCGGCCGGCTCCCTGCATTTCGCTCTGGAAACCTGCTGTAGCCGGGAAAAGGGCCCCACCGCACACCAGTCCACCCCCGGCTCCCCCCCGGCAGCCCTGGGGAAGCCGCGGCAGGAGCAAGGCCGCCCCTTGCCTAGCAAATCGAAAGTCTAATTGGATCTATTCGTGGGGAAGACGTAGGCTCAGGAAGCCACGGGGAATTCCTCCGGCTCCTTCCTCCAGCAAAGATTAGAATTTGAAATAAATATCTGTAAACAGAACAAACCTGATCTCGCCCTGGTTCCAGAACGACTCTCCTCCAGGTCGGTTGCGTTTTGCTTTCCCACAACAATATTTAAATACTAAAGAAATCAGATTGCAAAATAACATGTTAATAAGAAAGTACGGGTTAAAAAGGAGATAAGAAATCAAAGCTTTGGGTTTAAATGTCCTAGCCTTTAAGCTATCATTCTGTAGTCTCAGCTGAGATTTGCCAGGAACTAGGGCTACATCTATAATCAGGTTTCTGACTGATTGTGCCACGCAGCCAGCAGCAGGGCCCGAGTGTGCAAGTGTTGGTAAGTACCAAGAGAAGCTATGCGTTCTGGTCTAATTTGAGAGGATTTACGATGCATTCGTGGAATGTCACACGGGTCTTTTTGTTTCCGTATGAGTATGGCTGGTAGCTGATAGGAAAATGGAATTGCAACACTGCAATGGTAACATCACTCTGTTGCAACTTCAGACCTGTGTTATCACAACATTACAGCTGTGATCATAGCCACATCTAAACTTCCGAATTTTTTACTTTCTTTCCATTTAGTACTGTTGATTTCATCGGAAGCTGCTATTTTACTGAAATCTGCAAATGCAAACTGAAGAACATCGCATGTTTAAAGTGGTAAGAATGCCATTCGGTGACACTAACACCTCCTCAGCACCACAGTCCTGCTTAACCTTCTCCTGCAGACTACTGCAGCGCAAGAGTTAAGGGATGAATGAACAGATTGCATACTCTATTTCAAATTTAATGCTGCTTGATAGAAACTCAGCCCACTACTTCTGGGCCTGGCTGCCAGTCTATTTCTATGCAAGTCCCAAGTGGAAATGCAACAACCTTGTCAGTAGTCTGAGTATATGGGAAAGCTTGCATGCCACCTGCCTGATTAAATATCTGTTTCAACACTGAGATAATTGTGTGAATAAGGCCGCAATAAGAAGTAGTTACTCATATTCTAATTAATAGAACATCCTGTTGGCAGATCTAGCTGTTGCTAGCAGATGGAACATGCTGTCACTAAAGTTCTTGGAGTCCTGTTATCTTCTTTATTAATGCCTGATATTTAAGAGTGAAAACAACATCTCTCAAATAGCTCACAGTCATTTGAGATGATCTTTTTGGCTTCATAATCAAGACTTTTCACCTTGTTCAGACTTAAATGGTGGTGGGTTGTGACAGGAACACCGTATTTTATTTTTTAGACAGAAGTAAAGAAACAGAAATATCTCACCAGAGCACATGATTGAGAAAGTAGAAAAATGGTTGTTCTAGGCTTCAACCTAGGAGTGCAGCTCAGGCTTTGATATTCTCAGTGTTGTTACTCCTACTACAGATATTCTCCCATGCACAGTGCTTCTGTACAGATGGATTTTATGTGCATGATGAACTTCTATATTGATTCCAAAGGAATCACTGGCCTTCCAAAAATAATAAAAAAAAAATAAAAAAAGATACACCACCATTTGTTGGTATGTAAACTAATCTGGATTACATGATTTAGTTTACTAAATGGTTCTCTATGCCAAATATTTAAAACTTAGATATTCTGTAACTCCTGACAGATGTTCCCTAAATATTTAAGATGCTTGTTTAACTATGTTCCCTTAACTTTATCAAAATAGGAGCATTACATAATGGTCTGGTACTGTGGCTATTTAACATTAGTTCAAACTGGGAAAGCCAACAACATCTATCTTTTCATCAGGCATTTGGGGTGCTCATTATGTCACTTGTTTTTCTAGTGGCAACGTTGTCGGTTATCATGTGATTTCTCCCTGCAAACCTTGCCTGCTGTCCTGTAATAATGGCCACTTCTGGATGTTTCATAGCCAAGCAGTCTTTGGCATCAACAGACTAGACCCTTCTGGTAAGGAACACATATGTTCCCTTCTCTTCCCTAAAATCTTAGGATTCTAAGTCCTCCTTCTAATGAGGCATCTCAATATAGTTAAAGCATATGGACGGAGCATAACATATGGAGGCATAAGGCAAGCGTTACTGTATTGCTAATCTAGCAAACTACTTTAGGGGAGGTAGTTGTAGCTACTTTGTGAATTAAAATTTCTAAGTGGAAATTTATCTTCATCAGAAAACTTAACCTACCTCTTTTGTGGTCAGAAGTCAGGATTTTCTGAAGCAATATTATATCTAAAAACAGCTACCAGCTGCTATTTATAGAGGTATGTATAGCTTTACTTTGCTATCAGGCAGCTGTCCAACGGACACTCTTTTTGGGTGAGTCATGTTGTCACTTTGACCCTATATAACCGAGTCCTCATTAGCTCAAGCTGAAGTTACAGCTCATGCTAGCTAGTTTCTTCTGCTAGGTGTTGTTTGGATGCCAAGTGTCGAGCATAATTTGCCTTGAGTCCTCAGGACTGCATAGCATTCTGACAAATCATTCCTCCTCCTTGCAGATGGGAGTAACTTATTGTCTAAACCTTTCAGCGTCACCTGTGTTTTAGATCAATGCATTTAAAAATAAATCAGCCATGAGAGGATTATCAATAGCTACATGTATTAGCTATATAAATACATCTGTGAGCAGGGACTTATTCTTTGAACTATGCTGTAAAAACAACACAAGATCACTTTGGAAGAAAAATAAGAAATAATCTAGATATATTTATCATGAATGTGACTTACCAGGTTTTGCAATGAAAATAGATAGTTGTGCAATTTAAAAAGAAGGTCACAATCCAAAAATACTTTTTTATTTTCCTCCTTCCCACCAGGTGTGAATGTATTGCTCTGGGGCAACTTGCCAGATTTGGAGGAAAGTACAGGTGAAGATACATCCTGCATCTCTGAGGAGGAGTACATCAGATAAATGTTATCTACAGTATACCACAGTATCTTCTCTAGAATCGTTTCATTGGTGTTTCATTTGGATTTTTTTTTTCTGCTGGCCTGTCAGAACTTAAACAATACAGGAAGCCAGGAAATCTGGAAAACAATCGTAAAAAAGGAAGGTATCATCTTTCTTTTTCACTGTAGCCTTCCCTAGCCTCTTGAATCTGCCTAGTGTGTATCTTCCGACCAGAGACATGCCCAGGTTAGAGCTGGAAATGCAGATGGAAGGTGCATTTACTGAGGCCTAGGTCTGTTTTGTTTTTTACATGTAAGTCTCAACAATTGATGATCCTTCTTAACTGTATTTTTAATTCTTTCCTAAAACAGTAGTCACAGAGCCAGGTCTTTCAGTTGCTGTAAATACAGCTTAAAAATCTTAAGAAATAGTTAACCTGGTTGGCGAAGTTTTGAAAAAACTCTGCTTTCATGGTCATGCAGACCATTGCCCAGAGCTTCTATTCCAAGTATACAGAGTTGCTGAATAAGTGGCTCAAAGTATTAGAGCTTTGGCTCTATGATCTGGCTCTCCTGCTTTAAGCACCTTGTTCTCTGGGCATCTGAGGCATGCCAGGATGCTCCTGAATGCGGACTGGGGAGCTACTTTACAGAGTCTTCCTATCTTCATCTTTCAGTACTTTTAGGATCATGTTTCTGTAGAGATCAAGTTCATCTTTCCCCTTTGATAAAACCTAAATACTTAATACAGTTACTTAATGTCTAATAGAACTTCAAGACTACCCTGGAGTTTCTCTTAAGGTCAGCAATAAAATCCATCCAATTTCATGTGCTATTTTTTTTCCCCTTACAGGGTAGGCATCCCTCCAAAACAACTCAGTGATCCGATTGGGTCTCTTTAGAGAAAGAAATCAGGTTAAATATTTGGTGTTCATGTCTAACCTTACATCCTGAGGCGTACAGACAATCTGGTTTCTGTAAGAAGTAATGAATTCAAAGCTCATTATCTGAGTCATTACAGCTATAGTATTTAACTTATGAACTAAATACTGTCCCCTTCAGCTAGTCACCTGAAGGATCACCTTTAGAAAATTCAAGGTACAATCATATAATAGAACAGAGTGCATCTTAAAATTTGGATTGATGCCAAATAAATCATTCTGCAGCCTCTGGTGATACTAGAAGAGGTGCAATGAAGGCAGATCTGAATTGTCTTAGTATTTTTACTGCATTTTATATACTTAACGGTACTACCTCTTCTGCATCATTTAAATGTATATTGGTATGTATATATATGTATGTGTGTGTATGTGTATGTCTTGTTTTGACCCCCTGTGTTATGTCTGCTCATTAAATAAAAGTTTTGGACTACATAGTCTTATGGGCTGTAATAAATATGGATGCATAGTTATCAAATAATCAAACCAATGAAATAACATCTTGTATTAAACTAGTTGAATAATTAGGTTCTTACTACTATGGTTTTGTTTTAGACATGCCCCAAAAAATCGCCTTATTTTTAGGTTGACAAACCTGCCACTTTCTCAGTCTTAAAGGTCAGTTTTCTCAGTTAACTCTTCTATAACACATCCCATTTTTTGCCAGTTTTCTACGCTGCCTGAATTTGATCATGTTGTGACTACAGTATTAATCTGGTAAGGTGACATCCCACACAAACATTTTTCCAAAAGCATTCATGAGCTAAAACTACATCTGCTTCATTCTTTTTAAGTAGCACAATAGTTCAAATAAAATTCCCGTAATATAATTCTGCTTTCTTGCAAGTTTAACATTTGCCATTTATAACCCTTACAATTCTGAGTCAAAGCTGTCAGTAGCAGAACTGACTAGAGCTATTCTCCTGCAGAGAAGACTATAATTTCTTTACATCAAGTCAATAATGCTGGTTTTGCTCCCTATCTGTTTGTACACATAGAACTGGAAGTTCTACTATGAACTACTTTAATTACACAGGCCTGTTTGAGCTAGTTGATCTCAACTAGGCATCAGCTTAAAATAAAAATGAGCCAACTTTTAAGTTCAGACCTTTTTTTTTTGACAATAAAGAAGTTGTAAGTATTATGTACAAGGTAAACAAGCATCATCTATTCCCCCAGCTGTCCTGAATGTTACCAAACAAACTAAGCATGTGTAAGGCTACTTTCTACCTGAAATTAAAAAGAGAACTGACTAAGCAGTTTGTGGTAAAGCCACTGCTCCTTATTCACAGGGCCCTAATGTTTTGGGTTAAGTTTCCAAGGATCACCCTGTGTAGGGAAATACTTTCCGGGTTGATAGATACATCTAACATTAAACAACTGGCACAAATACAGATCAATATTTCTAGAAACACTCCCAAGTACTTCACCCAAAGCTTCGTTTGAAATAAAACAGTTCAGGTCTCCATGGGGGTTTTTGTTTTCTCTGTACTCTCCAACATGCAACATACATTTGTTGTAGCACAAACTCGGAAATGTGGTGTAAATCATTTGGAAGGTGAAGGTTGCAAGGCATCTGGTATAATAATGCTGAACATTAAGACAGATAACTTCCAGAATGAATACTTCAGCAGGATTCAACTGCCTGATAGATCTATGGTCAGTCTGATGCAGAAAAAGCTGGGCAGCTCTTGTCATCTTTGGTAAGGATTTTACAGTGAAATTTTACATGATCTTTGCTGCACAGCCAAAGAAGTCAAAAGCAGAGCACAAGGCTGAAAAACAGGAACGGAGTCCTAAGGCCTTTCTCTTCTGCTCATTAAAGTACATAAGGCAAGTAATTAAAGAACTTTAGTGTCTCTAATCAGATCTGGTTTTATTCAGAAGGGACTGAAACACCAGGCAAAGGGTCTTAAATTTTAGACTCAAAATCAGTGCTTCCTCAAAGTTTCCAAAGTCTCCCGGCTCCAGCAGCACAGCTATCGGTGCAGCCGGCCCTAATGCCCTTGGCACTGCATCTGCCCCGGGGCGCGCGTCGGTCACACCACGTCCCCGGTCTGCTCCCAGCAGCTCTGCAGCTGGAAGATATTGTGTAATACAGACTTGTAGGCTCAGAGTCACAGACTTGTTTGGATGAAAACATTTGAAAGTAGAATTCCAAAAGCCACGGAGGATAAATAACGTTGATCGGATTTTTAAATCACGGGGACCTGTGCAATCATGCTGCCATTGATGGTCAACCATTTTCTTTCGTGCAGTGCATAATCTGCAGTGCACAATACTAGCTGCAGGGGTAGGAGACAATCATGGCAAGACAGTGATAAACTGATTCTCCTTCATATTAAATAAGACTTACTAGAAAAAGTACATTTAAATATTTTTCATTATTCCAGTACAGATTAATGCCTAATCATAATCTTACATTTATGTAACACTATTCATCCCAAAGTGCTTTACAATGACAAACAGTTGGGAATTCTTTTAACACTGAACTGCAGCCAACTCCAGGATGCAAAGCAGCTGCCAAGTAGACAGCATGCTGCAAGGACCATGGTAAGCATCATTCTGTAATGAAATTCAGTATGTGATCTCTATCAGTACAAACCGATATGGTGATTATTGAGGGAGGTTCAACTTAAAAGACACTCTCTTCTTATGCAGCCTGGAATGCAGTTCATCCACTTCGAGCCAGATGACAGATGGGTCACCTCTCCTAGGCCAGAACCTGGAGTCCCAGGGTTTGAATCTGAGAAAGCGTCCTATGATAAGAGACAGAAATTACAAAGCTATCTTTTCTGCGCTTTGCTCTGGCATGCAGGAGTTGGCATGCTTTTTAAAGTCAAGTAAAATGGTCATTTATTATAAATCACCCAATTACTTTGTCGTGAGAGGTCATTGTTACATACTTTATTACGTTTGCAGTCTGTGTGGTTTCTGAAAGCATACCCCAAGGAACAGTGCATATCCCGAGTAAACAGTCTTTGTGTGCTATTATTTGGATTAAGGGAGTGTCTACAGGCTAGTATAGTATAACAGCTACAGGCGCCTATTGTGCAAGAAACTGTACAAGCACAGCGACTTGTAGACTCCAAGAACTTGCACTGTAAACAAAGCAGCCAAGGGATGGTAAGGGAATGGCACCACTGGCTCTATCAGAGATCAGAGGTAAAGCCCAAACTGTGTCAGCCTGAAGAGGAGACTCCTTAGTTCCAAGACTACAACAGAGAACCAAGCCGTGCCTGTTCCTGCAGCTGTGGACCAGTTCTTCCTATTCCAACAGCCATTTGCAAGTCTATTCATAGATTCAGCTCTTCCAGCACACATACTCGATCATCTCGTACTTTAAGCAAGGATCCTTCTCTATGCCGGTGTTTCTGGATTCCTGCTGCACTGTTAGGTTTTTCTCTTGCTCTAGCATACAAAGTGGATACAGCCTCTAGCCAAATACTCATCAAAAACCTACAAAGAAAACAAGTTATTCCAAACCTGTATAGATAGAGCATTCATGGAACTGAGAGAGGTGCTCTTCAGTTTATGCAGTATACAGGAACGACAAGAGAGAAAAGCAGGATGCCTGCCTCGAACACCTCCCGTGAAATTAACGCCAAGTTGTTGCTGCACCGCCCAAAATTCCCTCTTCTCATCAGGAAAAACCAACTCTGCTGTTCTCTGAAAAAGCATCAGCATTTCCGAGCAGCTATTAGCCAGGGGGACATTTTAGCTGCTTTGCTGTCTGCAGTCTCTTGTCATCTTGCATGCATGACACAAGCTTAACAAAGTGAGTCTGCACTCTATTGATTTCTCATTAGAAATCATGCCTCACATTTTGGACAGCAATGAGGGGGGGAAAAAAACCAACAGGGAGCAAAGCTGGTCAAATAGAAGCCAAACAAAATCTCTGGTGCTTCACTTCCTATGTCATCTGAATGCTGACAGCTTGATGTCTCTGGGTAATGCCACACAAGGGAAATTAGCACCATAGCACTCTCAGGCACTGCCATCTGCATGTCAACGTATGTAGAAATTTGTGCAGGCAGTTATAAAGCAAGACTGATAAAAAAGACTTGATCTTTTGCATTTCTCTGACTACACTTATTTCCTGGAGGAAAGTGCTAATTAAAAATAACCCAGTATCGCTCCAACGTAACTACAGCCACACTAGGCTCCTTCCCTGCTGTGCTATGGCAGAAGCTTATTAGTTCAGCCCACTCCAGCATATGGCCTGTTTTGGAATAGGAAATTTCCACTAACAGAGTAGACAATGCTAGAAATACAGGTGTTCTGGGACTCTCACCCTAACTTATATGGGAACATAAAACCAAGGAGAGATTGGTCCTGTGTCTACCAGGCACATCTGACAGTTCCATACACAGAAGCAAGCTAATAAGAATTAAATTTTAAAAAAGAAATCATCTGATTTTCATTCTTCCTGTCGTCTGCCTGCCTCTCAGAGCCAATACCACACTCCACCAACAGACTGCCCAGATAAGCAAAGGCATTTCGGGACCAAAGGACACTGAGAAAACCAGGAATACAAAGCTCACACGCCCTTTGTCTACACCTTTTGGAGGTTCTGCCAGTAACCATTCTTTTACTACAAATGTATTTGTCTTAATTTTTAAAAAGTGTAAGTATATATTTAGTTCTGAGACTAGCAAAGCTTCAGCAAGAATGAATCTGGCCTATTACTTCTGCTATGCTTACAGAACATACCCAGAAAGCTTTTTCAGAAGACATTGGCAATGGAAGAGCTACAAGATAGCGTGCAGCGTGCAGCAAGCTGCTTTGGATGTGAAGAGTGCCAGCCTGCACTGTGAGTGCTGCAAGCAGACTTTGACCTAAATTAAAAATGGTGTGTGAAGCTAGAGACCCAAAGACATTTCAAGGCAGAATAGATAGGATCAATGTCCAAAACAGGACTAAGAATGCATCTTCAAACCCCTGATATTCAAGCAAAACTATGCATTAGGCTACTATACTAGACACAAAATCTAGGCCCTTTCAATTACAGAATTTTTAAACTGCTTTAGAGCCGCTTGATTTGACAGATTCACTTATTTTCATGATTCATCACTGTATAAGTAGACAGAGAGAGAAGTAGATGGTTTTAGACCACCAGAACACCAAAGCTGCAATAGTTTCCTCACAGGGTGGTCAAAGAACGCAGCACAGAGAATTATTTGGTTAAAAATGCAGATGGAATAACACAGGGTCACATTTGAGGGAAGATTGTGAAAGCTACTGCAGATTCACCCTAGTACTCAGATGTTAACGAGTGCCTAAAATGTTTGGAAAAAATTAAGCAATCTGCTCTTGTGCAAAGGCCCATCACAAGACTTTCCACAATGTCGCTCTGCTTTTTATTGGACCCCAGGTTGGAAGTAAATTTTACTCTGCTTCAAATTTTATCCAAAGTCCAAATTACTTTCTTTGTAGCTTAGAATTTAAAATTCAGAT